TGATGAGAGTTTAAAGAATATATTTTTCTTATGGATGTATGTTTTTTGGTTTCATTGGATGTTTCTATACGCTCTTTGAACTCTTGTCTAGTGAGCTATTTAGCGCAACATTTAATTTTATTGGGTTGATCTGAGCACGTGATTTTATTTAAATCAAACAAGCCTGGTCACATGAGAGGTTTAAAATGATTTTATTAGAATTTTTTCATTGAAATTCTTTTTATACTCGATTGCGTCAAATAGTGATCTAATAAATCGAACTAATAGATCTTGAGCATTAAATTCAGTCGAAATAAACACGATCGTTAATATTTTGTAAATTATTTAAAATGGATTCATATCCTTCAATACCATCACAACAGCAACAGCAGCAACAGCATCAACAACCTGTCTCTTATACACATCTAGATGTGTATAAGAGACAGACTTAATATATGTTTTTCGACGCTATCAACACTCTCAAAAGAGAATATAAAACTATTATTAGTAACGCCATAAACACGTTCGTCATGTTTCCATTCAATTGGATTATAGCCTCCAAGAATTTCGTTACTATTCTTCACTTTAATGACCGATACAGTGCGAGATTGGTCATCACAAATCTCATGGAATTTACTAGGTGAAAACCCATCACGAGAACCACGAAGTATTAATTTGAATTCATACGAAGAAGTCAACTTATCTGTAGTACTTAATTTGTCAACCCATTTCGAGATTAATTCAGCATGTTGAAACGTAATGACTTTTGAATCAACATTTTTTTGTTTGTGAAAATTACGAGGTTTCAATTTATCGATTGGCTTGCTGTCAGGATGTAAACTTAAATAAGTTCTAAATAAATCCACAAATAATTCCTCCGGTAGAATTTCCCTATAAGGTATTACCGAATCTAAAATTTCTTTTGAAGTTAAATTATAAAATCTAATAAAAGGAATGCAATGTTGTAAAGTATTCTTCAATACACTAATATCATCTTTTGACAATCTTGTAGGATCAGAAGAAAGTTCAGGGTGTTGAGCATGTCCCCATTTAAGAACATTTTCCCAAACTTGAATTTCATTCATTTGAAGATTATCACTTTGAATAAGAGAAATCAAAATTTTTTCTGAAATTGATGAAAAATTTAATGATTTGAAAATTTTGTCTGGCTCTTTGGATATTAAATCGGTACAATATTTTTGAAGTTCCAAGAAAGAATTATTTTCATTATTTTCAAAGCTTGTTTGATAAATAAAATTAAAATTTTTCTCTATCCAGTCTGAATTATTTTCAATCAAAGAAGTTTGTAAATATTTAACTAATTCTTGAAGGTTAAGCTCATTGGCAGCAACTAAGATTTTAATAATATCTGAAGTATCATATTCTCCAAAAAGAAATTTTCCTCCATAAATATACCTAAATAAAATTTTTTTTTTTAATAATCAAATTAATTAAAATAAGATAATAATAATTGAACAATTACTAACCTTAAAATTGCTTGAAAAATTTCCGGTGAAATATTTGGTAATTTAATATGTATTAAAGCTTCATCATTTTTCTTTTTATTTGTTGATAAAATTCTTCGCAGATAAGAAGAACGATAGTTTAAAATAACCATATGAGCTCGAAATATTTTTACATCTGGGTCATTACCAACTTCAATTGTAATATCATAATATTCTTCATCGTTCAAAATTTCGAGTAAATTTTGGGATAATTCTGATAAAAATTTATTGTCACCCATTATAATTAATATAATTAATTTTTTTAAGAAAAAGAAATTTTCAAAAGAATTTATGATTGGATCACCTTAAATATTTGTTTCTAAATTTGGAAAACAAGGATTACAAATCGTTACAAATCATTTTTGTTTAATTCTAGTCAGTAACATTAAATTACTATAATTAGTAAAGGAGAATTAAGAATTATTATAATCAGCTACAATTTGTGGTTGCAATTCAATAAAATACTATCGTAATATTTTTAGTAATAAGCATATAAAAATTGACATGTATTGTACTTGTTGAATAACTTACATTGTAAAATGCTAAAACTCACATTTTTCTGAAGTATGAGTTTATTGAAATTTTAAAACTTTTATTTCGCTGAAATTTTGAAGAATCTATCTAATTAAAAAAATGTTTGTGTGAGAATTACTGATCCAGATTCTTTATAATTAAGACCCGCTTGATCGGCAAGTCATGTTGTACCATCTAATCCAATTCCGGTTAATGAAATTTTAACCGATCTAAATTTTTTCGGTTCCCCTTTTTTTTTAATTTTCATTTTTTTTTCTTGAACCGATCTTTTACAAATGGTTCTTTCTTTTTTTTCAAATTTCTCTTTTCTCTTTCGAAACACTTCCTTTTTTTTCTTTTTTTAAAAAATTTTTCATTTTTTTCCCTCTTTCTTTTTTTGTTTTTTTTTCATTCTTTTACCCATTTAGATTTTGTTTTTTTTCCAAAACCGAAAAATTATTATTATTTTTTTTTTTATTAAATAATCTTTTAAGACTTATATTATTTTTTTTCAGTCTTTTTTTTCTAGACCATAATTATTATTATTTTTTTTGAATTTTTTTTTCGGTCTTTTTGGACCCTTTTTTTTTAAAAAAAACCGATTTCTTTCGTTATCCTTTTTCTTTCCCCCAAATTTTTTTTTCTTTTTCTTTTGAATTTTTTTTTTCTCCGGTTGGCTTTTTTTCCAATCCGAAATTTTTTTTCCCCTTTTCCTCTTTCGGTTTGACTTTTTTTCTTTCAAACCGAATTTTTTTTTTCCCAAATACATTCTTTCACCATTTAGGTTTGGATCGATGTTGCGGCGCCACGGAAATTGCCTTTTTTCCCGATTCTTATTATTAATAATAATATTATTTTGTATCAAGCTCAATAATAGACTAACATAATTAGTACTTATTTATTTATTTTTTGTAACAATAGATCGTTATAATTAATTTTTCTGGGAATTTTTTTTTTCATAACAATAGATTGTTATATTAATTTTTCTAGGAATTTTTTTTTTCATATTAATTAGTGAGATATTTTCTTTTTTATAACAATAGATTGCTATAATGAATTTCTATGAGATATGGTAACAATATATATGTATATTTTTTCAACAGAGGATGTAATTTTTTTTAAATTTTTTAAGATAAAAAAAAAAGGATTTTTTTTTTGTAACAATGTAACAATAAACTAGTACTTATACAAAATTGATTTTGTAATGAATTTATAAATTTCACAGTACTACAACATTTGTTTCGTGTGATAAATAAAATTTTCATTTAATAATAATATTTCATATAGTATTGTATAACACTTGCACGCAATTCATTATTATTTGTATAATCATATAAATTGTGTAATTTATTACATTTATTTCCTACTAATGCCATTATTATAATAATAAAAAACTAGACCTATTCACACTGCATGGCAAATAAAATATCAGTGTGTTATTAACTTATTATTACTCTCTTACTTGATGGGCAAGTATCATCTCCGGCGCAACGCGACGGCTTATGCCTAACATGATTTCAAAAAAAAAAACAATAAAACGGAAAATTCTTATCTATGACTATTTAAATTAAAGAGAATATAAACCATTACTATTGGTAACGTCATAGTAGCTAACGATCAGATTTCAATTTGGTTGAATTGTCTCTATAAATTTTTATCTTTGAAAACAAAGAATTAATAAATAAGTACATAATTAATTATACACAATTTTTGAAACTAAAATTTAAAGATGTAAAAAAATGAAAATAAATTTGCTACAAATATTGATGAATATTAACCTTTTTTCATAATTTGAAAGACTTCATATTCTTTTGCAAAGAACCTATCTTCAATTTTTCTGATTCGCTTTTTGTAAGAACGTTTGTTACTATAACTCTTATCGAGACCCTTTATAGTAAGGTCATCACCATATTCACCAAATAATGGACCACAATCACGTAAATTAAATACAGCAAATTGTTCATTCTTCACATGACTCAAAATATGTTTTTCGATACTATCAACACTCTCAAAAGAGAAAATAAAACTATCATTAGTGACGCCATAACCACTCGATTGGATTATAACCTCCAAGAATTTCGTTACTATTCTTCACTTTAATGATCGATACAGTGCAAGATTTGCCATCACAGATCTCATGAAATTTACTAGGTGCAAAACCATCACGTGTTCCACGAAGTATTAATTTGAATTCATATGAAGATGTCAACTTATCTGTAATACTTAATTTGTCAATCCATCTCGAGATTAATTCAGCATGTTTAAATGTAATGATATTTGAATCAACATTTATTGATTTACGAGGTTTTGATTTAATAATTGACATGCTATCAGGATGTAATTTTAGTAAGGTTCTTAATATATCCACATATAATTCTTTAGGTAATATATCCCTATAAGGAATTACTGTGTCTGAAATTTCCTTAGAAGTTAAATTATAGAATCTAATAAAAGGAATACAATGTTGTAAAGTATTCTTTAGTACATTGAAATCATCTTTTGACAAACTTGCAGGATCAGAAGAAAGTTCAGGATTTTGAGCATGTCCCCATTTAAGAACATTTTTCCAAACTTGAACTTCACTCATTTGAAGATTTTTATTTTGAATGAGCGAAATCAAAATTTTTTCTGAAATTAAAGAGTAATTTGGCGAAATAAATATCTTGCCTGGTTCTTTGGATATTAAATCAATACAATATTTTCGAAGTTCCAAGAAAGAATCATTTATGAAACTCGTTTGATAAATAAGATTAAAATTCTGCTCCATCCAATTTGCATTATTTTCAATCAAAGATAATTGTAAATATTCAACTAATTCTTGAAGACTAAGTTCATTGGCGGCAATCAAGATTTTAATTATATCTGAAGTATCATATTTTCCTATCGAAAGACTTCCTCCGTAAATATATCTGAAATAAATTATAAAAAATCAAATAGTATTTATTATAATAAAATAATAATTTAATTCTTGCTTCCTACCTTAAGATTGCTTGAAAAATTTCCGGTAAAATATTTGGTAATTTAATATGTGCTAAAGTTCCATCATTCTTCTTTTTATTTGTTGATAAAATTCTTCGCAAATGAGAAGAACGATAATTCAAAATAACCATATGAGCTCGAAATATTTTTACGTCTGGGTCATTACCAACTTCAATTGTAATATCATAATATTCATCATCGTTCAAAATTTCAAGTAAATTTTGCGATAATTTCGATAAAAATTTATTATCAATCATTTTAATTAATTTTTTCTTTCTATGAAAAAAAAACTTTACATAAGCTAATTATGTGATTGGATTATTTGTTTCTGAATCGGGAAATCAAGAATTATAATATTAGCTCTGGTCGGAAATATTAAATTACTATAGTTGGAAAAAAAAAATTAGTGTGATTTTAATAGTTACGTACGATGATTTCATATTCATTAATATTCATTGCGATATCATACAATTGGATGATTAAACAACAAGCTGGAAACACAATATCAGAAAAGCAATAATGTCGTCATTTATTGATACTTTACATTTAAATTATAATTTTACACGTATTCGATACATTGACCTGAAAGAAAAAAACACACGTTAGTATAACGTTCGTTAAAGAAATTAAGATCGATAATGACCATAAAAATTGTCTCGCCCAAAAAAGAATTTTATACATACTGATTTAACTCCTTAGATTTATTACGGGTCTTTTTACTTATTGTGAATTTATTTTTAAAATTAAAAGAATCAAATGATTTAATTCATTTACTATATTATCGTATACTGTATTTTTCACCCGCCTCTCAATGATTATATTCATAAAAAAAAATTTAATATTGAAATCATGTAAAAAGATGTCATGGTATGTTTTTTTTTATTTTTCTAAACGCTATTTTGTTTATAAATTCAATGATCCATAAAAAAATACAATTGAAATCCGATAAATTTATGACAAATTCTTGAGGATTGTTAAGAACCTATTTCTTTTATAATTTGAAAAACTTCATATTCCTCTACAGAAAACATATCTTCAGTTTTTCTTATTCGTTTTTTATAAGAACGTTTTCTACAAAAGCTCTTATCATAAAAATTATCTCCCCATATAGCAAGGTCATCACCATCTTCACCAAATAATGGACCACAATTAGGTACATAAAATATAGCAGATCGTTCATCTTTTACACGACTTAAAATATGGTTTTCAATATTAAAAGAAAATATAAAGCTATCCTTGGTAATGCCATAAATACGTTCGTCATGTTTCCATTCAATTGGATTATATCCTCCAAGAATTTCGTTACTATTCTTCACTTTAATAACTGTTACAGTGCGAGATTGACCATCACAGATCTCATGGAATTTATTAGATACAAATCCATCACGAGATCCACGAAGTATTAATTTAAATTTATATGAAGTATTCAGCTTATCTGTAATATTTAATTTTTCAATCCATTTCGAGATTAATTCAGCATGTTGAAACGTAATGATATTTGAATCGACATTTTTTATTTTACGAGGTTGTGATTTAACAAAAGATACGCTATCAGGTTGTAAATTTAAAAAGGTTCTTAATAAATCCACATATAATTCTTCGGGTAAAATTTCCCTGTAAGGTATCACTATATCTGAAATTTCTTTAGAAGTTAAATTATAAAATCTAATAAAAGGAATACAATGTTGCAAAGTATTCTTTAATACACTGAAATCATCTTTTGACAAATTTGCAGGATCAGAAGAGATTTCAGGATTTTGAGCATGTCCCCATTTAAGAACATTTTTCCAAAGTTGAATTTCACTCATTTGAAGATTGTCACTTTGAATAAGAGTAATCAAAACTTTTTCTGAAATTGATGAGAAATTTAATGATTTGAAAATCTTGTCCGGTTCTTTGGATATTAAATCAGTGCAATATTTTTGAAGTTCCAAAAAATTATTTTTGAAACTCGTTTGATGAATAAAATTAAAATTTTGTTCTATCCAGCTCGCATTATTTTCAATCAAAGAGTTTTGTAAATATTTAACTAATTCTTGAAGATTAAGTTCATTGGCAGCAACTAAGATTTTAATAATATCTAAAGTACCATATTCTTCAAAAAGAAATTTTCCTCCATAAATATACCTAAATAAAAAAATTTTTTTAATAATCAAATTAATTAAAATAAGATAATAATTTAACAATTTCTAACCTTAAAATTGATTGAAAAATTTCCGGTGAAATATTTGGTAATTTAATATGTATTAAAGCTTCATTATTTTTCTTTTTATTTGTTGATAAAATTCTTCGTAAATAAGAAGAACGATAGTTTAAAATAACCATATGAGCTCGAAATATTTTCACGTTAGGATCATTACCAACTTCAATTGTAATATCATAATATTCTTCATCATTCAAAATTTCAAGTAAATTTTGGGATAATTCTGATAAAAATTTATTATAACCCATTATAATTAATTATATTTTCTTTTTTTTTTTATCGTTTTAGAAAAAGAAATTTTCAAAAGAATTTATGATTGGATCAACCTTATATATTTGTTTCTAAATTTGGAAAACAAGGATTATAAATCGTTACAAATCATTGTTTAATTCTGCAGATAGATTATTGAAAATTATGTGATTAGACCTTTGTCCAATGATTATTTTATTTACTATAAAAAAAAAATTGTAATTCCAAAAACTATAAAAAAAGTTTTGAAATAAATAATAGCAAATTGATAAAAATTTTCGCAAATATAAAGGAATATTAAAATTATAAAAGTTATTACTGATTAGATTTTTTATAAAAAAATTTGCCAAAATCTGGTTAAAACTGATTATTAAAATTGGAAAAAGTTGCTATTAGTCAGTAATGATTAATGAATATAGTTTATTTGAACTATCATACTATTCAATCGAATAAAAATCATTTTATTCCCAAAGATGAATTGTTTTTAGTTAGTAAAAAAAAGAGCGAATATTTCATTAGTGATTTGTAATAAATAATTAATAATTAATTTAACAAAAATTTTTATCATTTACCAAGATATTTACTAAATTGCCAATGTGATCTATTAGTATTGTTCTATTTCAGTCAGTTTCTTTCATTTCAAAGCCACAAGAATAAACCTAAAATGGTAGAAAAAGAAGTGGCTTGATTAATAATATTCAAAGAAAAAAATAATATTGTTAGACGGATGATTGTCAAATGTTATTTACCAATAAAGTCACAAGATCAAACCTAAAATGGTAAATCATTTTTCAATTTAATATAGTTTATTTAGATCAGTAAACTAATACTATTATAGTTTAAAATAAAATTAAAAAAAATTGTTTAATATAAACAAGAGGTCACTTTCATGGGGGAGTTTGACATGCTTTAAAAAAAAAATGACTTCGTTTTATAAATATGCAGCTCTCCTTTATAAATAAGCTTCGTTAAAATAAATAAATTTTTTAAATCTAGCTTTTTCTTAAATAAAATGAATAAACAAATGATGTTTTCCATTTATAATGAGTAAATTAAGTATAGAGAAATGTCTTGTTATAAGTTAAAATAGTAAAATAGTAAAAATTTGAGGGGATTGCTAAACATTGCCTGGGGTCTTTTTCCAAATATGTCACATGATGTACAATATATGGATTAATCGGATTTTTTTCTTAGCTAATTTTTGATCGGCTAAACTTAAAATTTTATCACGAAAGATATTTTTTTAAAAAAAATTTGCAAATATATGTATTCAAAATAATCTAATCTAATGAAATTTTATTTGCAAGTATTAAAATTTAAGTCACACATTTACGATTTTAAAGAAAAAAATCACTGTATTTTTAATGAAGTGATACAAATAAAAGAAACAATAGTAATAAATAAAAAGATAAGTAAATTACAATGATCAAGAAGAAAGATGCTAATAAAAAATGAAATAATAATGGAGTAATGGAAAGTAATAGAAGATGAAAGGGAGTAAAAAAGAGTAGTGAGAAGTGATAGGAAACAAAAAGGAGAAATATGGTATGATAGATGAAGAGGAGTGATAGGAAACGAAAAGGAGTGATGAGAAGATGAAGAGGAGTAATGGGAAGATGAAGAGAAGTGATGGAAAGATGTAGAGGAGTGATGGGATACGAAAAGGAATGATAGGAGACGAAAAGGAGTGATGGAAAGATGAAGAGGTATTATTTAATTAATTATGATTATTAATAAATTATTAGTAATATATTATGTATAAAAAAATAAAACAAAAATTATATGTTCATAATTCATTATTATTTAATAAAAATAAATAAACAAATGTGTTTCCGTAAATATTGATTTACCAATTTTGAGAAATTAAGCTAAATTGGATGGTGAAAATTCTAGTGATATACTGCAGTTTTATTTAAATAAAATAATAAATGTTTTGTTTGTAATAAATAAACGATTAATATGCTATGGTACAATTATTAATTATTAAATTAAATTAATATTAATGTTTTTTACTATTTTTTTTATTTAATATGATTAAAAAAAAAAGTATTTTTAATTAAAACACTATTTAAATATTTAAATATTAATTTATTATTAATGGGTGTAAATTATTTATTTTGCAATCAAAAAAATGAACAGCCAGATTGACATGTTACGGCAAAATTGTATTTTTTTAAATGTTATTGTTATTAAATTAATTATAATATATTTTACTTATACATATAATTATTAATAAATTAAGATTTAGGAGAGAAATAAAATTTTTACTTTACAAATAAAGGTTGTTTACATAACTGTAGATTTACTATATTTTTTTTCTAATTATTGTTATTTATTAATAATATAATCAAATTTCAGAAAAACTAAATTATACCAGCTCAAAATAGCAAGGTCAAATGAGTTAGTTATATTTATTTTTTACCAGGAAGCAAAAAAAGTATTTTTTTTTTATAACTGGGAACTAACTATTACTAATTAATATTAATAAATGTCAGTTACCGAACATAAAGAAAGGGCAAAGTCCGATCTATTGTTGAAAAAAAACTAAAAAAATAAAAAAATTTCTAATGAAAAAAAAAATCTGATCTGTTGTTAAAAAAATTTCAAAAAAAAAAAATCCTAAAAAAATTTCTAAACGGTCTATCATTAAAAAAAAATAATAAATGAAAATTACTAAACGATTCTGTTGTTAAAAAAAAAAAAATAAAAAATTAACTAACGATTTATCTATTAAAAATAAAAAAAAAGTTACTAAATGATCTATTAAAAAATAATTAAATGATCTATTGTTAAAAAAAAATCTCCATTTTATATTAAAATAGTGCGCTTCGCACTTTTTTCTATTAAAATATTAATTAAATGGTGCGAAACTCACCATTTATTTATTAAAATGGTGCGTTTCGCACTTTTTCCTATTAAATTATTAATAAAATGGTGCAAAACTCACCATTTATTTGTTAAAATGGTGCGAAACTCTCCATTTTATTTATTAAAATATATGTGAGTTATCCCCAAATTGACCGATCTACGCAAACTCAATTTATGGGTTTAAAAAGTAATCTTATATAAACTCTATGCAAACCCATTTGTGAGCTATATCAGTATTATTTGGGGGCCTTGCGGAACCTTAACTAAAAACAAATTTTTAATTAAATAGAGAAAATTTAGAAATTATTTTTTTAAAAAAATGTCACGTGATGATCTCTATTATGTTCGTTGACCGTAAAAGTTCAAAAATTTTATTGATCAGCAAAAGTAATTTTTTTTAAAAAACCTACTATTTGATGGCTCAAATTAATACACAATGAAATTGCCACAGAAAAGCCCAAATCGCAATTTTACTCTAATGATTACACTATTCAATTCATATTCAGTTTCTTTAATATTAATATTAATATAAACTAAACTTAAATATATATTTAAATTAAATATAATAATTAATATAATTCTTCCGGAAGAAAATTTGATGAAAATCTTACCCATAATCTGATAATGAACAAGGTAACCTCGGACGATCATTTTTTAAAAAATTTACCCAAGAATCTGGAACCAAAAATGATCAGCATAATTAAATTCCAGATTTATATAGATTGACATTTCAATTTCCAAATTTATTTTGATGAATTTTGCATAAATATTATAAAATTAGTCATCGGTAAATATGCTGATCTACAAATTTTTCCAAATCCCATTAGTCACCAGGTGATCTGCCATCTCTTTAATTCGTAAAAAAAAATACAGGCCTCTTCAGTATCAGTATCAGAATCTGAATCTGAATATAATAATGAATGGTCATTTAGGTCGCACAAATTTCTAAAAAGGTGATTTTTTTTGGAAAAAGGAAATTGTTTATTTGTTTATTACATTAAAGAATAAAGATGATAAAAAATATATAAAATTTCATTTTTTAATGTAACACAAATCTCTTGGCGGACCATTCTTAATTATATTATGTTAAACAGTTTAACTAGTGTTGTGACTGTTGCGTGTAAAAATATAAACAAAATTACTGCGGAATATGATTCTTGTTAAAAAAACTCAAATTACTTATTTAATAGATATTATTCTTTTAAGCAATTTGCGTAAATATTTATCGATATTACTGATATAATTCTTGAAATTGATAATTAGAGACACCGTATTACTAATCTATTAATATACTTTTATTCTAGTCGTTCTATAGTAAAAAAAAGCTTAGGGCTACTGTATAAGTCGCAAAAATTAATGTATTGTTAATAACGAATAACAACGACCTTATATTTCGTGTGCAGTATTTCATTAGAATACAGTATAGTAACAAGGGAGCAAATATTATAATTAGAAAATTTTAATGCATTATTCAATGAGAGACTTATTAATTAATGATTTAGTATATAAAATGAGAATAAAATAAGTTTAGACTGTTTATCTTGAAAGAACCAGAATATAAGAATTATAGAAACGAATTAATAATTTCTTTTATAAACAGTTTTAATAAAGATTTTTATCGGAAAAAATAAGGCCAGCCAAGTGATGGTTCATAATTACTGATGTTAAATATGGTAATACTTTTCATTTTTGACGTGATTTAAATATTTTCTCAACATATTCATTAGAATATACCCATAATTGTTGCGATACAATGATAGATTTCATGAAATTTATTAATGTAAACTCATTGAGAGATTTATAATCCAAATTTCAAGTAGATTTTTAATACAACTGACGTATTTTTTGTTTTTAATTAAACATCAATAATGTGACCAAACAATTAGTTGGTGTTGACTTGACTGAAATCAAATGTTAAAAATTTTTTCAACATTTATTATATTAGTTTTAGCTATTTGTTACAATTATTAAAAGGTTTAAATGAACTTTATTTAATTGAAGTTAACATTAATTTTTTTATACAATTACGATTTGTCTCATTTGAATTTAATCAAAAGAAATCTTGATAAATTTTTATTATTCTTTGATCATGTTATTAAAACATTTGCGAATATTAAAAATTGAATAACCATATAAGATGAGAAATTAAATAAAATTTATTTTAATCTATAATTATATTTAGCAAAAATGAAAAAATCGTTAGTATTTGTTGCTGACTTAGCCAAGTCTTTTAAAAACTTGTTGTTACCTCGTCACCAACGTTGAGGGACAACAGCTTTCATCAGGGAGGGAAGAGAAGGAAGAGCGAGAGGGTAAAGGACGAGGGAATGGGAAGGAAAAGGGAAGGAGGGAGGGAAAGGCGGATGAGAGAGGGAAAAGAGGAAGGGGAAGGAGAAGAGGAAAAGGAAAGAGAAAGAGGGAAAGGGAAAGAATGAGGAATAAGGGAAAGGGAAAGAGGAAAGCGAGATGGGAAAGAAAAAAAAAAGGAAAAAGGAAAGAGAGAGGGGAGAAGGGAAATAGAGAGGGAATAAGGAAAAGGGAAAGGAAGGAGGATAAACAAGAGCAAGGGAATACACAAATACACCCACCCACCAACCCATACACAAACCTACACTCTCAACCTACATACCTAAAAGAAAATGTAAAAAAAGGAACCGAAGAGAAGACCTAATAAGAAGACCTAAAGAAAGAGAGAGGCATATCGAGTGAAGGTATTTTTGGTTTACTAGTTTCACCTAATGAGTTACTTATCAAAGAATTATTCAATATTCAAGATTGATTATTTAATCAAAAAATAAAGGAAGACTTAGAAGGTAGAACAGAGACATATACTCATGACAAAACTCACATTAAGATTATGTAATTTGCACGAGTAATTTTTTTTGACGAGTAGTTTTTGATTTTATAGATCATCAAGTTGGTTTACATTTATATTCAGATTTTCAGAAATTTTACGGCTACATTAGATTCATTACATTTCATGTTTTTTATTAATAAAAATAACTCAGATCTATCAAATTAAAACTATTCAGATACGTTGGTTATTTACTTTATTACAATTCTGTTAAAACCAATCAGTTAAGTCGACGCCAAACTGCATCAATATTTGTTCTTTATACTGCGTTAATAATGTATTATTACCATATCAAAATGGTGTGAAAAGTATATATGAATTAAAAAAAACGTATATCAGATTACAGTATGAATATTGAAAATCAAGTTTTTATTTAAATAAATAATAATCCATTTAAACTCTAAAAAATATATGAATCAAAAATAAAAAAAAAAATTTTTAGCGAGAAAAAAAATTAAATTCTTGTAACTTGAAATACTTCATATTCATCTACGGAAAATTTTTCCATAACCTTCCTGATCGGTCTTTCATAAGAAGATATTATACAACAACAATTACTATAAAAGTTTCCACGCATCACAAGGTCACTTTTGCCAAATGACGGGCCGCGATTAGAGTCATTAGATATGGCATAATTCCCTTTCCTAACACGACTTAATATATAATTTTTGATACTATGATTATTTTCAAAAGAGAATATAAAACTATCAGAAGTATGGCCATAACTACTATTAGATTTCCATTCAAGTGGATTATACCCTCCAAGAATTTCGCTACTGTCCTTCACTTTAATAACAGTTACGGTGCTAGACTGATAATCACAAATGTTATGAAATATATTACGATCAAATCCATCACGAGACCCACGATGGATCAATTTGAATTCATACGAAGCGTTAACAGCTAATCTATTAATCCATTTCGAGATTAATCTTGCATGTTCTATTGTAATAATGTTCGAATTAATATGTATAGTATTGGTTGAACTGGCCTCATTGACTCTAATACTTGTTGGCCTGGTTTCATTAAATATCTGTGGTTTAATACTTGGAATGGTTCTAGCATTTGTTGACTCGGTTTCAATCTTTTCAGATGTCTGAGCTTCGGGTTTAATCTCCTTAGTTTCCTCTGGCTCTGACTGATCGGTTGGCTTATAATCATGATCCAAAAAAAGTTTTAACAAATCCATAAATAATTTCTCGGGCATAATTTTTCTATAGGGAAATACATTTTCTAAAAATTCTTTTGAAGTTAAATTATAGAACCTAATAAAAGGAATACATTGTTGCAAAGTATTTTTTAATACGCTAAAATCATCTGAAGAAAAGCTTGAAGAATCTGAGGGAAGTCCTGGATTTTGATCGAGTCCCCATTTAAGAACATGTTTCCAAATCTGAACTTCATTTATTTTTAGGTTATCATTTTGAATAAGCGAGATCAAAATTTTTTCCGGAATTGAAGAAAAATCAATTGATTTGAATATCTTATCTGGTTTCTCGGTAATAAGATAATTACAATAATTTTGAAGTTCTAACAAAGAATCATTTTCAAAGCTTGTTTTATAAATCATATTAAAATTATTTTTCATCCAGGTTGAATTATTTTTAATCAAAAAAAATTGTAAATGATTAACTAATTCTTGAAGGTCAAGTTCGCTAGCGGCAACCAGAGTTTTAATGACATCTGTAACATCATATCCTTCAAAAGAAAGCCTCCCTCCATAAATATACCTAAGAAAAAAAAAAATATATTTTTTTAATCATAAAAAATTAAAAATATGATAATTTATAATTTAAATTTTTTTCTTACCTTAATATTATTTGAAAAATATCCGGTAAAATATTTGGTAATTTAATATGTGTTAAGGTTCCATCTTTTTCTTTTTTATTCATTGATAAAATGTTTCGTAAATAAGGTGAACGATAATTTAATATATTTCTATGAGCACAAAATATTTTTACGCAAGGGTCACTACCAACTTCAATTGTAACATCGTAATATTCATCATCTTCTAAAATTTCAAGTAAATTTTGTGATAATTTTGGCAAAAACTTATTATCATCCATTAAAACAAATTTTTTTTTTTTTTTTTTTTAAAAAAAAAAAAGTGTAAGAAAATTTTTTCTAATTTGTTAGTCGTATTATATTTCAATTGTGTGACATGATGTAATTGCACATGTAACTGCGGAGCCATCAAATGTCCGATCATCTATGTTTTTTTTTAATAAGGACTTTTCTTGCAATAACTCTTTTCCTGCATGATGAAGTTATTACAACCTAATTGAGCGCACACCTTTGGTTAAAATGTGACCATAGAGGTACGATGCTCGAATAATGATCCGCAAAGAAGGACGTACATTATTACAACTTGAATTATAATATGTATCTACTTTTGAATTTTCTTAAATAATACTATGTACAACCATTTACAAAAGTGCACTTAATCACGGTACATTTCCTGCTTTATCATTTTATGTCTTATACTGCAAATCTATTGTCAATAAAGTAAGAATGAAAAATATTATATCAATATTTTGAAAGTGATTTAGAATGTCAATTTTATGAATTTTTAAATTAATATAATTGCGAAATAATTTATTTCAATAATAAAATATACCATTATTTTATATTATGAGGTTATTTAACATACTCTATAAAAGAAAGTTAGAGCTACAATTATTTTTCACGAACGCAAAAATAAATTTTGAATTTCGATATACGGTATACTTTAAATATTACAATTTTTTAGTTTCCCAAGTCTAGCTCAATTTGCTCATCATATATACTGTACTGTACATCACGATTTAAAAATATGTAAATCGTTGTAGTAGAAAATCGATACTTGCGAATTTGATAGCAAGTATTCTGTAATTCTAGATGTTTATGAATATTCTTCAATAAATAATTGAAGGTAATAAATAATAAAATCGTATTATAAATTTCAATTTAGCATTTACCAGTCAAAAGAAATTTATTATTGGACACATAAAATAGAAATTTTTGTAGTATTTTCAAAGTTTTTTGCAGTTTTAAAAATTTCTTATTCTTCTAAAGAAAATCTGTTCCCGGTTCTCTCATCAAATTTTTGCAAACATTATATATAATAACAAGGAATTGGAAATGATAAATTATAATAAAGAAACTCACAAAGGAAGAAATTGTGATGCGGAAAAGTGCCTTACATTATTACAAGGCGAAGTACTGTACAAATTATTTGAATAATAATAAATGTCTAGAGGTTAAAAAGAATTTGAAATTCTTTAAAACTAAGGAATTTAAATTTTGTAATTATTATAATTGAATACTCGGATTGAATAATCTTAATCTTCACAATATTGTTTTCACAGATTATTTTTTTCTTTGCGTTTTTTGATTTAATAAATAAAAAAATAATGATTTTATTGATAATATATAATAAATAAAAAAAAATTATTTAAATTACAAACTAAGAAATGTGTAAAATGTTTTACTACTCTAGCCTTAGTGTTTAAATAATCCAATAAAAATTATCAATATTGTTTGTTTAGTAAATATAATTTTAAAATCCATCTAAAAAAGAATATATACAAATGATATAAATTAGTAATTAAGATACTATTTATACAATATTAAGAAAAATATTAAAGAAACTAACCATCAGGAATCTCAAATTCATCTTGATCTTCTGAATGAAGGTTTGGATTATTATGTATTTCGTCATCATCTATAAAAGGACAAAAGTTTTTAATTTAAACAATTGCAAAAAAATAAAATGAAAATTTATAACAAAAAATTTTACTTACCATTAACTGATCCTTTCATTTGTTGCATTGTTTTTTTCTTATGATCAATTGGAATGTCTAAATTTTTATATAAATAAATAAGATTATAATAAATAATAAACATTGTTTAATAAACAATTAAAATTTAGAATAATATTACTTACCATTATTTGAACTTATTTGTAAACTTTTAAATACTTTAGATAATCTTTTACTACCACCTAAAATTGAGATAAATTTGTATCATTATTTCAAAAATTTGAATATATCAATAAATTACCTTTAAAAATACTATTTATTTTTGATGTTTTATTAATCTTCTGATCGTTTGAATTATTAAAATCTTCAACTAAAACGAAAATTTGATTAATAAATATTTCATCAAATGAAAACTTTAATAAATACCTACTATTATCAGGAATATTAAAATCATATGTTTTACTATGAAATGCTATTTTAAAAAAATAAGAAAAATAGGTTATAAATTATTATAATAGTTAATAAAATAACGATAAAAAGCTAACCTTCTTGTTCTTCTATAATGTGATATAATCATCATTTAAATTAAAAAAAAAATTAGTAACGCCATCATATCTTAACCAATAATCAAAAAATAATACCTTCTGTTGCATTTTTTGGTTCGGGTAAATTTTCAAATTGATGAACTTTGCTCGTAAGTAATCTGCTGCTTATATAATTTGTGCTAGTTTTTATTTCAAAATTATTCACTACTTTTGACTGGAAAAATTCATCTGGCATATTTTGATATGATAGATGAATTTTTGTTATTTGCTTATCAAGAGCAATAATATCAGGTCTTTTTAATGGATCAACATCCCAACATTGTACCATTAAATTTTTATATTCTAAAGGAATATCTGACATAATTTCTGGTCTCATACCATTAATTATATCCATTGCAAGATTATTATCATCATGCTTATAATCAATAAATGGTGAATATCCAGATGAAATTTCCCACATAAGTATTGCAATACTATAAATATCAGATGCAAAAGTATATCCTTTTCCATTAATAACTTCGGGTGCTATGTAAGGAAGATTTCCATATATACTTTTTGATGATTTGTCAGCAGGTCCACAAAATCCAAAATCGCTAATAAACCATCTATCATTATATTGTGAATATAATATGTTTCCAGAGTGCAAATCTCTATGAATTGCTTTTTCAAGATGAATAAAATAAAATGCATTAATTATTTCAAAAGCAATTCTAATTTTTTCTTTCCATGTAAGTTGATTATAATTTTGTTGTAAATATTCTCTTAAATCCATATCCAATTTATCCATTACAAGCATGTAATTTCCACTTGATAAATCTTGTGTTAAACCATAGCATGTGACAACGGTAGTACGTTTATTGCCTATAGTTAAATGTGATTTAGCCTAAATGATAACATGCCATTGTTAATATGTTAATACAAAAAACTTTAAATTTCATAAAAAAATTTAAAATATAATCATATACATATATACCTCTTCAAACCAACTTTGATTTGCATTTTCAACCTTTTCTAATACTTTAAGTATTACTGTAAAAGTTTCAGACCTTTTTAATTGCTGTTCCTTAGAATTCCATTTTTCATATTCTCCATTAATCCAATCTGCAGTATAAATATCAGAAAATCCACCTTTTGTTAGATATTTAATATTTTTTAGATTATTATATGGAATCCATTCAACTACTTGATTTGGCATAGGTGTTTCCAATTGACATTTCTGTATTAAATTATCAATATCATTATTTCCGGATATCCAATTTTTAAAATTTGCTTTTAAATAATTTCGAACACAATATTCACAATATAATGTAGCTAAACATTCTTGTTTGCAATTTTCACAAATTCTTTTTGTTCCTGAATTTTTAAGAACTTTATTTTGGTCATAAGTTTCAGTTATGTAATTTATTGCTTCAGTTTTTTCATCATCTGTAAGAAGTTTATCAGCAAGAATAAATTGTTTTCGAAATTCATGTTGTTTGTGCATGTCAGTGTGAATATTATAATCAATTAACGAATATGCTCTACTAGCTGTTGCATTAATTAATTCCCATCGAATAGTAGACATAATGCAATTTTTATTATAAAGGTTTAAAATGAAAACTTTTTTTTTTATTTTATTATTAAAATAAATACAATTATAAATTGAAATTTTTTTTTTTTTAAAAAAAAAAAATTTAAATTCGAAATTCCGAAACAAAGTTTATAGTGTAACATAAATTTGAATTTTAATATGATCTGAATGTTATGTAACAATTACACAAACAAGTTTAAAATAAACACAATAAACTATTTTTAGACATGCTTATCGTTATAATAAATATTTTTAATTTTTCTATAAATAAATACTATTAACTAAAAATAAAAATACATCAGGAGTTTATTAAGCGTAAAGTTATAAAAATAATTTCTTTTAATTTGACGAAAGAATTTAAAAGAATGAAAAATATTGAAGATAGTAGTGATTATAATATTGTTACTTCGTGACTATGATTTACTTTTTACAAACCGAAATTTTTCTTGTAAAATCAGTAAACCAAAAAAAAGTATATATTAAAGAATAACATAATTCTTATATATTATTTAAAATGAAAAATTTTTCTATAATACTAATAAATTTATTTGAAATTTCTAACGCCATAGTTAGTCAATAAAATTATGATTATTAAATAGTAAATTTTTAGCAGGCTATTTATTTAAAGTATTTAATTTTTTATAGTGACGCTGGGGAAAGTGTTATTCAGGATTGCTGAAAAAACTCATGTGAAAGAAAAAAAAAATTTGACTGATGCTTACTCATGCAAAGGTAACGCGAAAGACTATTTTTGTACCACACTTCAAATTAATGATGTAAATTATTATTATTCAGGAACAACCTCAATAAATATTTCTCAATTCCCTATTCCATTCGAAGATATTTTTATTAAATTAGACGAAAGGGTAATTTATCTTTTTAGATAAACTGAAACAATCAATTGTTTTTCCTTTTTTATAATTTATAAATAATACAATATTGAGATATTATCAATACTGACGAGAAAATATAATTAAAATTGTTTATTAACAAATATCATTATTATTTCCTATTTACTAATTATTTAATTAGTAGGCACCAATGTATTACGCAATTATCCAAAATGTCACTCTTAAATTGTTACTCAATCATCATATACTTGCGAGTCTAAGTTAAAAAAAGGAAAGGAAAGGTTATAAAAAAATAATTAAAAGTATAAATTACCTCGGAACCGTTACAATAAAATTACATAATAAGCATAAGATAAAACACAATGGAACCATAATAATAATTTCAATTCACATGCCCGTCACAAAAAACGACGTACAGTACAGTATTCATATTGAAAGAAAAACGGCCTATAAATAAACCTACTCACTTTCTATTATATACTCACCAATAACAAAAAACCAAAATATAGAAAATTGCAATACTTTATAATTCACGTACAACTGATAAAGAAAGAATTAGGACTATAAAATGTAAAATATATGAATGTGATTTATTTTGAACTTGTTCATTTCTAATAAAATCATGACATTCGAATTTATAATAAATATTTTTTAACTACAATTGAATTAATTATGCAAATTTTTAGTATCTTAATTTTATCATACCTTCAGAATTGTTACTTTTTATGCAACAGTGAAAGAGATGTTTTTTATGTAAATTATATGAAAAGTTCTATATAAAATTTACATATACTATTTTGTATAATTTTAAGGACCCAACATGGATTTTATGTAAATATGTAAAATATGTCTATGCAGATTTTTTATTTAAAATTCAAACATATTTCATATAGTTTTAAATAGGTATTATTTAATATTATAAAAATTGTAAATTCAGTTTACTTTAGATAATGTATTTATATATACAATATTTTATAGTTAATCTGTTTTAAAAGAAATACAAATCATATTGGTAATCACATGAAATTATCAATGAATTTCCATTTTGATGTAAAACTAATTGATTTTCGGATTATTATAATCTTGTTAATTTTTTTTTTCATTTTTGCATCTTATCTTTAGGGTGCTTTAGCACTTTTAATTTTTCAATCGATGCCGATCATGCAAAATATTGATCATTTTTTTTAAGCTTTAAACATTATAATGATGTCAATATTCCGTAATAGTTAGTAGTAATAGCCAGGCTAACAATTTAATGTACAGTATATCAGAATTTTAGACTAGAGGGGAGCACACTACACGACAGACAAATTACGAAATTATTCAATGAATTGTAAATTAAGAATATTTCATTCTTTCATACTCGCATAATAAAAAGAAAAATTTATTTATTAACGTTGACATTTCATTTACATCATTAACAATCCTATAATATAATATATTTCCAATCTCGTAAATAAATATTTATGATGCAATAAAAAAAAAATAAATAAAATTTTTAAAATATAAAAAAATATTATCATAAAATGATTTTTCTGTAATTTGAAACACTTCATATACTTCTACAGAAAATTTACTACTATCATTTCTAATTGTTTTTCATAAGAATTTATTTTACAAATACCATTATATCTCTTAGTTTTACCGCGCAAAACAAGATCAGTCTCGCCAAATGCTGGACTGCGATCAGGGTGATTAGATATGGCAAAATTTCGATACTTTACACGACTCAAAATATGATTATTGATACTATAATTATTTTTCAAAAGAGAATATAAAACTATCATTGGTTGCGGCATAGCATATTTATTATCAGATTTCCACTCAAGTGGATTATATCATCCAAGAATTTCGCTACTGCCATTTACTTTAATAATAGTTAGTGTGCGGGGCTTATTATCACAGATTTCATGAAATATCCTATTTTTAAACCCATTACGAGTTCCACAGAGAATTAATTTTGAATTCATATGAAACATTAGTAATATTTAATAATCCATTAATCCATTTATTAATCTAGAATGTTCTAATGTAATAATTGTTGAATTTATATTTGTAAGATTGATATCTGTGGTTCAATATTCGGAATATTTCTTGTACTTGTCGACTCAGTTTCAATCTTTTCAAATGTGAGCTTCGGGTTCAATCTCTTTAGTCTCATCCGGTTCTGATTGATTAATTAGTTTATTATCAAAAAGTTATAACAAACTATAAATAATTTTCGGTAAAATTTTTCTATAAGGAAATACATTATCCAAAAATTCTTTATAACTAAAATTATTGAACTTGATTAAAAGAATACATTGTTGTAAAGTATTTTTAATGCACTAAAGTCATTCTCAGTAAAGTTTTCAGGATCAGAAAAAAGTCTTGGATTTTGATCGATTCCCAATAAGAACTTTTTTCCCAAACTTGAACTTCATTCATTTTAAGATTATCATTTTAGATAAGTATTTTCTGGAATTGAAGAAAAATTAAGTGAATTGAATATCATATCTGATTTCTTGGATATAAGATCATTACAATTCCGAAAAGGAAAAATTATTTTCAAAGCTTTGTCTAATATATCAAGGTAAAATTTTGTTTCTTCTAAATTTTGTTGCTTTTTAATCAAAAAAGATTGTAAATTATTAACTAACTCTTGAAGATCAAGTTCACTTGTGGCAACCAAGGTTTTAATGATATTTTCAACATCATATTACTTCAAAGAAATTCTTTTTCCATAAACATATCTAGTATAAAAATAAATAAATAAATATGAAAAAAAGTTTTTTTGTAAAAACAAATATTTATTTATTTTTTCATACCTTAAGATTATTTGAAAAATTTCAGGTAAAATATTTGGTAATTTACAGTAATATGTACCAAAATTCCATCACTTTTCTTTCTTTTTATTAGTTTGAAAACATTCTTCATAAATAAAAGGAACGATAATTTAAGATATTCATATGAGCACGAAATATTTTCATGGTAGGATCATAGCCAACTTCAATAATATCATAAAATTCGTCATCTTCCAAAATTTTAAGTAAATTTAAGATAATTTCGGTAAAAATAATACATCATCCATCATAGGAATGAAGAATCGTCCCTAGGCGAGTATCTTTCCCTATCATGCACGAATGTGAGTACAGCTCCATCATTCTCAAGCGATGCTGGCTGGTACTCTGCACGTATGGAATTTTTGAGGCCTTCTTGCCCTATAAAAAAACTGGATACGTTTTTAATAATGTTTTTATACGATTTTTTTTTCCTTAGAAATAACGTATTATAATAGTCCGTTGAAAGGATACAGAAAAATCAGAAAATGCACAATTCTGTATCATTAAAAATATAATTCGGATACGGAATTTGCATGGAACTCACACGGAATTCACATGATTAGGACACTGAATTTGTAATGTAATTGGTCACGAAACCTAACACTTAAACTACTTGTTATATTATAAAAATTAATTTAAAAAAATAATATTTATTAAATAAATATAAATAAAATACAAATGTATTATGAAAAGTTCTTTCCTAACTATTGTTAACTAAAACAAAAAGAAACTTTGAATTTCCTAGTAGTTAAACCCACTTCTCTTATCCACTTATAAGTCTAGATTCATCCAAGTTTTCTAGAATCTAACAACTTAAAAAAAAAAAAAAAAAAAAAAACATAAGGATGTTAAACTTCCCCTGTAATCATCCAAGTCTCTAAGAATTGGCATTTCTAAAGTTTGGAGTCTTGTAACAGAAAGACCTACAAAAAAGAAAAAAAATCCTGAAGCATTCTACAAAAAAGAAACAATCTACAAAAAGAAACAATCCATGAAAAAAAATTAACACACGAAAAAGAATTGATCCACGAAAAGAACAACCCACAAAAAAAAGAAACAACCCACGAAAATGAAACAACCCACGTAAAAAGAATTGATCTACATAAAAAAAATTGACTCACGTTAAAAGAACTGACCCATGAAGAAGAACTGACTGAATAAATCGATAAAAAAAATATATTCAACCTATAAGACAAAAAAATAGAATAAAATATAAAATAAAAGAATTTTAAAAATCCTAATAAAAGCCTAAAAAGGGGATAAAAAAAAAAATTTTTTTTTAAAAATACTTATTCTATACTGGTGAAGTAATTGACATCAGTGTATACACAATATTATGGGATAAGAAATAATGATTATAATACTATTCTAAGAAGTATATATATTTGAACATTAAACTCGAATTTTCTAAACAAGTTGCAAACTTACATTATTTCAATAATTATCATACTTGTGTTTAATAATGCTTAATTATTTTTACTTTATTATAAAAACTGTAAAGGTATAAATATAAATATTTTCCTTATGATAACTGATGATAGATAGTTCTACAAATAAAAAATAAATAACAGAATTATTAATCTTTAATTATACATTCCAAACATTCAGACTTTTTTTGAACTAATATTTCAGTAAGTTTTCGACTTGTATAATATGCTTGTGAATGAGATTGTATAATAGAAGTATTTGCTTGTACTAAAGCTTCATTTGCCTTTACAAATTCAAACATATCATTTTTTAATTGATTATTAATATTAGGTATTTCATAGACAAAATTTCTATCACTGTTTATTTTATAATATTCATTAATACATTTAATCCATTCAGATATAATGTTTTCAAGCATTGTTATAGTTGGTCTATTAGAAGGATCTGAATCCCAACATTTTTTCATTAAATCTATATAACATTTTGGAGTATTTTTTATAATTTCAGGTCGTTCTCCTTTACAAATACTTAAGATAAGGTCATGATCATGTGATTCATGGTTAAATGGAGGGATGCCTGATGTAAATTCCCACATTATCATTGAGAAACTATAAATATCACTTTCTGGAGTATAGGGGTTTCTTCTTAATATTTCAGGTGCCATATAAGGTAAAACTCCATAAATTTCATTATTATTATTACCAGAATCTTGTAAATCACTTACAGGTTTACATAATCCTAAATCAATAATAAATAATTCATTGTAATCATCTGACACTAAAATATTACCATCATGAAAATCACCATGAGTCAAATTGGATTCATGAATTACTTGAAGTCCTAATATAATTTTTTTCAATAATTGTAACTTGTCTTGCCACTTAAATTTAATTATATTAGATAAACACTTTCTCAAACTTCCTTTTTTTGCATAACTCATTACTATCATATAATTTAAATTATTTGGATCTTGGGTAAAACCATAGAATTGAATAAATTTTGAAAATGATTTTCTCTGACAATTATAATGATATTTCCACTATATAAATAATAAAAGGATATTAAATTTTTGCAAAAGAAAATAAAATTTTCTATTAAACATAAGCACTATACCTCATTCAGGAATTTATTATTTAAACTTGATGAACTACTAAGTATTTTAAGAATAACTTCATAATTCATCTGTCTATTCCATTGTTGCTTGTCATTATTCCAACTAAAAATAGGTCCATCTAACCAGATAGCTTTATGAATTTCACTAAATCCTCCTTTATCATAATAATCAATATTTGTCAATTTATTATAAGGTATCCACTCTAAAATTTCATAACTATTTTTAGCATTTAGTTGTGCCTCTTGAATAAATTTATCAATAAATTCATTTTCACTAGTCCACTTTGTAAAATCTTGTTGAAATCGTTTAACATTACATTGTTGGCACCACTGGTAATCAATGTATGGTTGTTTACATTCATCACATTGATGGCACCATGGGTAATCAATATGTGGTTTATTGCATTTATTACATAATTCAACTTTATATTTAGAACTTACTTTATTGTTTTCTGCTAGTACTTTTTGGTGCCAGTAAAAAGCTTCTCTTAAATTTTTTTCTGTCCCTTCTCCATTTTCATAACATGTGGCTAAATTATTCATTGCTTTTACGTGACCATTTTCTGCTGCTTCTTGATACCAATGGAAAGATTTTTCTAAATTTTTTTCTGTTCCTTCTCCATTTTCATAATATATGGCTAGAACAAACATCGCATTGGTATAACTATTTTCTGCTGCTTTTTGATACCAATGAAAAGCTTTTTCTAAATTCTGTTCTGTTCCTTCTCCATTATCATAACATATGGCTAAATTATACATTGCTGTAACATGATCTTTTTCTGCTGCTTTTTGATACCAATGAAAAGCCTTTTCTAAATTCTTTTCTGTTCCTTTTGCATTTTTATAACATAAGGCTATATTAAACATTGCACTGTTATAATCTTTTTCTGCTGCTTTTTGATATAAATAAAAAGCTTCTTTTAAATTTTTTTCTATTCCTTCTCCATCTTCATAATGTTTGGCTAAACTATACATTGCAATTTCATCACCATTTTCTGCTGCTTTTTGATACCAATGAAAACTTTTTTCTAGATCCTTTTCTATTCCTTGCCCATTATAATAACATGCAGCTAAATTACACATTGCTGTAACATAGTCTTCTTCTGCTGCTTTTTGATACCAATGAAAGGCTTTTTCCAAATTCCCTTCTGTTCCTTCTCCACTTATATAACTATTAGCCAAATTATTCATTGCTTCTTTAACACCACTTTCTGCTGCTTTTTGATACAAATAAAAAGCTTTTTCTAAATTCTTTTCTATTCCTTCTCCATTTTTATAACATAGGGCCAAATTATTCATTGCTTTTACATCACCATTTTCTGCTGCTTTTTGATACAAATGAAATGCTTTTTCTGAACTCTTTTCCGTTCCTTCTCCATTTTTATAACATATGGCTAAATTATACATTGCTGTAACATTGTTTTTTTCAGCTGCTTTCTGATACCAATAAAAGGCTTTTTCTGTTTCTTCTCTAATACAATAATGACTTGCTAAATTATTCATTGCTTTTACATTGTCATTTTCTGCTGCTTTTTGATACCAATGCAATGTTTTTTCTAAATTTTTATCTGTTCCTTTTCCATCTTCATAACATATGGCTAAATTATACATTGCTGTAACATAGTTTTTTTCAGCTGCTTTCTGATACCAATAAAAGGCTTTTTCTAAACTCTTTTCTGTTCCTTCTCTAATATAATAATGACTTGCTAAATTATTCATTGCAATTTCATTACCATTTTCAGCTGCTTTTTGATACCAATGCAAGGCTTTTTCTAAATTTTTTTCTGTTCCTTCTCCATTTTCATAAGATACTGCTATAATAAACATTGCTTCTTTAACACCATTTTCTGCTGTTTTCTGATACAAATGAAATGCTTTTACTAAATCCTTTTCTGTTCCTTTTCCATTTTCATAACAGTTGGCTAAATTATTCATTGCTTTTTCATTACCATTTTCTGCTGCTTTTTGATACCAATAAAAGGCTTTTTCTAAATTCTTTTCTGTTCCTTCTCCATTTTTATAACAGTTAGCTAAATTAAACATTGCTTCTTTATCGCCATTTTCTGCTAATTTTTCTAAAAAATTAATACATTCTTTACACCATAATTTTTCAGCAAAAGATTTATTGCAATACGAACAATTTTTGGTGTTTATCGTATTAGTATCTTTATCTGAAATGTTAAATTCAGTTGCCATTTATTATTTTAGAAATTTATTTTACTGGAAAAAAAAAAATTTTTTTAAACGAAGTATTTTCGACAAAAAAATATTTTTAATAATTGTTCTACTAAAAAGGAAAAAGTAGAAGTTACAACGAAAAAAAAATTTTTCGGGCCATATTTTTTCCGATTCACTGTATAATGTGTCGATCACTTGACCAGAGTGGGAAAAGTCAGAAAGGTTATATGAAAGGTTGTTAATTTAGAAATTTTACTCACTCTTTATTGAATCCAACTGTTTTAGTTCATAATATAATCATTTTTTTTTGGAAATTTTTTTTTTATGAGATAAGAACAAAGACGTTTTACAACCAAAGTGAAATTTTTGGAGTTATAAGTTTTTTCGATAACAAGTTCAGCAAGTATGGTAAGCGTCAGAACAGTTTTGCTCTATCCAAATTTTTATTAAGAAGACGTTTAGAAAACTTGAAAGCTTTTGTAAAGAAGAAATTCTTTACCTTCGAAGATAGCTGCGGGCGGCGTAAATTCATCCGCAGGATCTGCAACGATCACGGGATTTTACCGGTTGATTTCATTGAGATTTTTCACTTTTTGGGTTAATGCGTGATTGATTTGTTTATTTTGTTTTCTTAATTTAGCAAATTAATAAGAGATAATAATAATAAGTTTAAATTACAAAAAGAAGTTTAAAAATAGCTATTTTTATAAATAGTATTCATATTGTTGGACTAATTGGGCAAGCTTAAATTTAGACTGATATGTAGATGGTTTAAACCATTTTATTTAATAAAAATTATGGAAATTATATTAAAATTGTTCCTCTAATAACTCTATATTATTTCTTTAAATTATATAACTGTTATTTCAACTAATAATTTATAAAATTGTAATATTTAACTTATTAAACATGTATTAGAGGTGTAAGAGATGAAAGAGATGATGACTGGAGGAGATAGAAGAGAAATTATATATAATATGAAATATTAGTAATATTAAAATAATGCGCAATAGCAGTACAATATCAAAAAATATCAAAAAAAAATCGAAAAAATATAGCCCCGAAAAAATATAGCCCCGAAAATAATAATTAATTGAATTTCTAATTTTAGGTAAAACATGATTTTCTTTCCTTTTTCTTTTCTTTTTTTTAAAAAAATATATCACTTTATTGATCGGATAAGCTACGCAAATGCTACGCTTATCAAACTATAAAACAAAACCATACCGCCTATACGTGTAAAAGTTCCTTCCGCGCATGCTGATCTGCAAGATACGTCATAAATCCCTTGATGGCCGGTTTCACGTGAGAGTATTTCATTTTTTTACCGCACCACCACCGCAGCCTTTTCGAAGGTCGAAAAATTCTTCACATCCAAAGTTCTAAGATCCTACAGCGTCTTCAAAATTTATATAGGGCATTATCATATTGAAGCTTGACACTCTTTTTAAGTTTGCTAATTGTTATCGAAAAATCATGGGAGCTTTTTCATCTTATTTCCTTTGTTATGTTTACCAGTATTAAAAAGATAAAAGATTTTTTTTTACGGAAATAAAAAAACCAATCTAATAATTTTATCATAACTGATATTAAATTTTCCTAAGTAATTTGTATGATTATTGATTAGTAGTGTGTCTTATTAATGAATTTATTAAGACTTAAACTCTAAAAAAATAATTGATGCGTTACGCTCTGTACGGGTTGAGTGTTGATCATTTGTACAATGCTCGGCCAAATTATCGTTCAAACTTAAAGAAATAAATCAGACAATATTAAATTTATTTTTCAATGTGAAATAATGGTAAAATACCAGCAAATTTTTTTACTACAAACTTTAAACACATGATTAATAATATATAAAACTGAATAAGACATGTTTTGATCCTTTTTTCAATATTTTATGCTCACCAGGATTTTATGTACGTATCCTAGACATTACATATAAACTACTAACTAAGCTAAATTTAGCAGATTGATCGACCTGATGACCTGGGTTGTGCGATTAGATATGGCAGAAATTTTATTCTATACACGACAGAAAATTTCATTATCAATTCATCAAAAGAGAATATAAACTATCGTAGGTAAGCGGCATAGTTACTACCAGACTTTCATTCAATTGGATTATATCTTTCTAAAACTTTACTACTGTTCTTCACTTTAATAATAGTATTTACAGTGCATGATTTGTTTTCATAGACCGTATGATCACTGCCCATAAGTAATGAATAAGTACTATAAAAATCATTGAAAACCACCTAAACAATTAAACTTGTTTAGCGCCACGGTCAACTGGTTTGTGATTGTGATTCAAAAAAGGTTTAACAAATAGATAAATAATTTCTCATAAATCTCCATATGGAAATACATTATCCAAAAATTCTTTAGAAATTAAAATAACGAATACATATTACATAATTGTAAAGTATTTTTTTAGTATATTAACAGGATCAGAAGGAAGTCCTGAATTTTGATTGGGTCATTGTTTAAAAACAGCTTGTACTTCATTCGTTTAAGGATATCAATTTGATAAGCAAGATTAAAATTTTTTCTGAATTTGAAGAAAAATAAAGTGAATTGAACATCTTTATTCGGAGTTAATATGAGATCGTTACAATAATTTGAAGTCTAGATAAAGAATCAATTTAAAACTGTTTGGAATATCAAGTTAAAATATTTACTTATCCAACTTATCTAACTCTTGAAAGATTAAATTCGTTGGTTGCAACCAAGGTTTTAATTAAAACTAGATATAATACCCCAAAAAACATAAATTTATCTAAAAATTAGTTTTATTTTTTATTGTAAAAATTTACCGTTATGACTTAAAATATTTATTTTAATGAATTTCTGGTAAAATATTTGGTAGTTTAATATGTGCTAAAGCTCCATCACTATTGATAAAATTTTTCGGAAATAAGGAGAACGAAAATTTTTAATATATTCATATGAGAGAAATATCTTTACGTAAAGCTATTATAAACTTCAATTTAATATCATAAAATTCATCATTCTTTAAATATCATCGTATAAAGATAATTTTCTTTTATTTTCTTTTATTTTATTTATTTTTTTTTTTTAAAAAAAAACCGATTCTTGTTATTCTTTATATTCATTTGACATCATGAAAATTATTATTAATCACATGTGCATTGGGTAGAACAACTAGGTACGGTTATCAAAATAATAATATGAATGTCAATTTAATACTTAATATTTTTATGTTAGAAAGTTAGGAGTCAACTTGTTTTTTTTTCACTGCAATACATAATAGACACATACGCTACCAACCTTGTAATTATATAATATAGTTAGGTTGATTTTTAACATTAAAAAAATATATTACGTTTGAAGTTAGTAATGACCATCGAATAACATATTTTCTTATTAGTGAATTATCAAACTTTTATTGCACAAAAAAATCATATTATAAATAAATAATTATAAAAGTTTACGTTTTACGATTCAAAATAAATTCGCGAAAATTATTAAAAATTTACTTGAAATCTTGATACAATAAATAAAGACAAATTATTTTGTCTAACATTGAGCCAATAAAAAATATATTTAAACCAAACCTTTAAAGTGGCGTGAGTATCTAACGTAAAATTCATGTCATTGTGAAAAAAAATTAGGTTTGTTTACGAATTAAAAAAAAAATGGAGAAAAGAAAAATTAATCCAAACTTTTATAATGTAAGTTACTACACTATAACTACATGTTAATATAAAAATTAATACTATAAATTTGACTCATCAATATTATTAATATCTATATCAAATTCCTTGGTAACATATTCTATTTTTATAAATTAAAAAAAATTAAAACTATTATTTATATATTTATAAAAAGAAAAACATAGAATATTTACTTACCGTTGTGTTGTTGTTGATTCATATTTGCGTTAATATCCAATTCAATTTCTTTCGTAAAATAATCTAAAGAAGCATTTAAATCTATTTAAATTTAAAAATTTACATAATAATAAAAATGTTATTTATCTAAAAATAAAATTTTGTTTACCATAATTTTCATTCTCAAATAATTTTCTCCTTTTAGTACTTTGATCTAAATTATATTTTTTAAAAAAAATCCGTAAATGAAAATTAAAATAATTGAGAACACAATAAAATATATAGGGTTATCAATTTTTAGATAATTATGCATGGAATCTAACTTTATCATACCGTTGATATTACTATCTTCAACCGAATCTTTATCAACCTTTCTTTTATCTTTAAAATAATATTATTATTAATAATAATACAAGCGTCACATTAAACGTAAACTGAGTAATTACCAGCAGATGCCTTGCTATTTTTCCGATAATAATAAAATGGATCTAAGCAATTATTAAAAAAAGTTAGAATTTTCCTTACAACGAAGCAGCTTTCAGCATAATAAAATTATTTACCGATAGATTGACTTCTTGAACTCCTTAAAGACATTGCAGATTGAATCATGTGGCTTAAAGGTCTACTCTTATAAATGGCACCTAGATTATTCGTTGTTACAGGCCCAATATCTGATGATTCTATAATTTCAGTTGGACTTTCCTCCTCTTTGTTATACAATTTCCAAATTTTGTCTTTTAAATAAGTAGCTGTTGGTCTTTCATTTGGATCAGAATGCCAGCATTCTTTCATTAATTCAACATAACCTTCAGGAACATTTGTAACGGTTGGTGGTCGTAAACCATCACATATTTTGATTATAAGTTCAATATCATGAATTTCATTCCAAAAAGGTCTTCTACCTGTCATAAACTCCCACATAATCATCCCATAACTATATATATCCGAAGCTTCTGTATATTTTTGCCCTTGAAAAATCTCTGGTGCCATATAAGGAATAATACCATAATTTTCATTGCTATTAGCTGTACGTTCAGTTGCAGATTTACTTATTCCCAGATCACCTATTTGTGGATAACTAGTTACACTAAAGCTATATATATTAAAAAAGATATTTCCACTATGTAAATCTCTGTGAACAATTTTTGCTTTGTGTATATTACTAAGTCCAAATGCTATATTCCATAAATTATACAACTTTGTCCCCCAACTAATATTATAAAAGTCATTACTTATATAATGTGTCAAATCACCTAAACTATAATATGGCATAATAATTATAACATCTTTGGTAATAGGATCTTGAGTAATTCCAAAATAATTACTAATATAACTAATGGAATTACTACAACGTACATTCTTATCTGAATAAATCTGATAAAATACCTGGAGCTAAATAAAAAAGTCATTAATTTATCATCATCATATTGAAGATTTAAAAAATATAGAATTTGCCATACCTCATTTAGTTCCTTGGGTGTAATGTTTTTAGAATTGTTAAGCTTTTTGAGAACAACAGTATAATTTTTTTCACGAGTAATATTCCAATGATTATTTCTAATCTTATCCCAATTATTGATAGGTCCATCAACCCAAGTGGCTTTATAAATTTTACTAAATCCTCCTTCAGCAATAAATTCTATATTGATGAATTGATCATAAGGAATAAACTCCATTTTACCGCCTTCTATAATGGCATAATTACTTTGAGTATATCTGATAAAATCGTCAATAACTTTGTTTCCACTTTGTTTAGGCTTAAGTATTGTCTTTATATTGTAACACACGTGACAAATCTCGTGACTTTCATCAAAAATTTTTCTTTTTCTATTACATTCATTACATTTCTTATATCTGTTTTGTGAGTTTCGTGTCGGTTGAGTTGAAGGCGTGTTGTCCGATATTAAAAAGTCAATTTTATGTTTATAATTTACTAGTTGCTCCATTATTTCAAATTATCTAAAATAAAAATTTCATTTATTTGTAACGTTCAAGAAAACTTTCTAGTGTATATATATTTGTAGTAAAATTTAACACGGAATTCTTTTCCCAAATTTCCATGAAAAATTCTATGCATTCATTCCTTGCGAGTGAATAATCTAGAAGCTTATTTTGGAAGAATTTTTGAATGAAATTTAACAAGAATTCCATCAAAGAATAAAAGAATTCCGTCAAAAAATAAAGGAGTTCTATCAAAGAATAAAAGAATTCCATCAAAGAATAAATAAATTCTATAGGTACGGAACTATGCAATATATAAATAGGTAACAAGAGATTGGCACTCATTTACTATTAGCTCTATGTATCTCTTCAGGGCCAGAATTACATAATGCCGCCTGCCATTAACAAAGAAAGGAAGGATCTACACTTTATTTGGGTTACCTTTCTATGTATTGCTCGGCATCAACCGACAGAAAATTCACGTGGGGACGTATCCAATAATATGGAGCAGTTGTATTAACTTAGCGTGAAAATAATAAAATTTTTTTTTTTTACTTTCTTTAATCATTTTATTCATTAATTAATATATAAATTATATGACCTATAAAGCCTTTGTAAAAAGCCTTTGTTGTCCGAGAATGTAGGGGAACAATAAAAAAAATAATGATTACTACGCAGAGATTTTCCGTTGTGCAAATATCAAACATAATGAATTATAAATTTAATGCACACAATTTCTAAAAAAAAAAAAAAATTATTTCGTTCAATAAGATTAGATTCCTAATTTTTATGGTAAGCTTTTACGAATTTTAAGTCAACTTTCGTAAATTTACATTTAATTTAAGAATTATAATTAGAACGTAACTAATTTTTTTATTAAGTCATTGATAAAGGAATATAATATTTTAGATTTAAATCTTTGATTTTGCCAGAGAACTATGGGAATGACAAACCAATTGCGAAAATTATTAATGATAAAGAGTGAAATATTCAATTAAAATTGAACAAAATAGAAAAGCAAAGTCTTAATAGATATCTTAAAATAAACCATTTACCGGATTAAAAAAAAACAATGTTACAGTAATAAAGTAATATAGCACCTAATTACCTATATTTATATTTAGAGTCTATTAATTAGGCTTTCATTAAAAATTTAAAATTTTCTTTTCAATAAAGCATAAATAACTTTCTACAGTAACGAATTTATCTAGTTTAATGAGTACTAATTATTAATATTTAATGGTTAGAGCATTATTATTTTATTTAACTTTACAATCATTACTGTATTTGCGAATAAATAAAGCACTCGATTAAAGTATTATGAGATAAAATTGATGACATAAAATTAATAATACTACTTTGGACAAAATATAAAATATTCAAAAAAAAGTTTTATTCTTGAACTTATTGATTTTGATTTTTTTTTTACAAAAAAAAATCATTATTTTCCTACTATTCTTCTACATTTTAATAAAATTATTTGCAATTTATTATATTATATTATTTGTAACTACACTATTAAGAAATATACAATTGGATGATAATGATTCGTCTAAATTATTTATTTAAAATTAAAGCCTTTATTTCGATAAATAGGGATTAAAACACAAAATGAAACAATTTGAAAGTGAGTAATAATCTACTTGAGAGAAATGTTTGTCACTTGTAGAGCTGATATACGGTATGTTAAGAAATTATTGTTGAATTTTCCAACAAAATAAAAAAAAAATGCTAAACTAAAATTTTTATTAAATTAAACGCTATATCTGTTAAGACGCAAAGCTACCGACAGTTTGTAAATCGTTGAACTTTTACAAACCAGTTTAAATAAAATTTTTCCGCATTTTAAAAAATTTATTTTATTAAATGTGGAAATAAAAAATCAAATTTTATTCTCTTAATGGCAATACTCACCTTATAGTATTATTTTCTTACAACTAAATATCAAAGACTTCGCCTTTGCCTCTTTAACAATTCTTGCATATGACTATATCAGTTTGCGTCTTATTCCGTATATCTATTGTAAAATAGTAAATTTGAAGGCTTAATATTTTACTAAAATAAAGATGAATAATATCAAAAGAAAATAGTAGTTTTAGTAGTTTGCGACACAGATTAAATATTTGACAAATCAATAAATAAATTCTCGGGTAGAATTTCTCTATAAGGAAATACTATTTGGATTTTAGTCAAGTCCCCATTTAAGAACGTATTTCCAAACTTCATTTAAGGTTACTATTTTTTAACAAACGAGATCAATATTTTTTCCGGAATCGAAAAAAAATTGAATTTCTTATCTGGCTTCTTGGATATAAGATAATTACAATAATTTTGAAACTCTAATAAAGAATCATTTTCAAAATCAAAAAGGATTGTTAAATAATTCTTGAAGGTCGCACAACTAAAGTTTTGATGATATCTGTAACATCATCTCTTTCAAAGAAAGCCATAAAATTAAATAAATAAAATTTTGCTAAACAAATAATTGTTTTTTTTTTCTTACCTTAATATTATTTTGATAAAATATTGCGTAATTTAATATTTATTAAAGTTCTATCTCTTTCATTTTTGATAAAAGTTTTTCGTAACGATAATTTAATAAATTTTTATGGGCACGAAATATTTTTATGTAAAGGTCACTACCGATTTCAATTGTAATATTATATCCATTATAATATCTTTTTTTTTTTAAGAAAAGAAAAAAATAGGAGTATGATTCTAATTTGTTAGTCGATTTTGTTATTTATTTGTGAGACATGATGTAATGGCACATGCAACTGCGAAGCAATCTCGAACGAATCATTTGACCGATCATCTATGCCAAACTAACTTTTATGGTTTAAAGTACCTTTTCTATAAAAATTTAATTGATATTTTTTTCATAAGAACTTTCTTGCAATTAACCCTTTTTCCGCATAACTGTAGTTAAGCGCGCATCTTTGGTGCTTATACCGAGATGTGATTATAGAGGTACGATGCTTAAATTGAACTATACAATTCGCTCTTTACACAAAAGTACCTTTGTTAACTAAGTACATGTTCCGTTGTATGACTTGTATCATTTTACGTCCTATACTTCAAATCCATTATCGTATAGTAAAAAGAAATATTACATTAACATTGTGATAATGATTAAAAATTTCATTATAAATTAATCGTGTAGTATAATAAAATATTCTGCTATTTTCTTTCATGAGGTTCTTTAACATACTCTATAAAAGAAAAGTTAAAATTAAATTATTATTACACGTCAAATTGAAATAAAATGCGTGAACGCGGACCCTATAAGAAATATGTATACGGAAAGGATACGTTTTGTATACATTTTTTGTACGTTTCTATAGATTCCATATACAAATTCCGTATATTTAATAAGCAATTCATTTTTGAACATTTTTTAAAAAAACTAATGTATAAGAAATGTATACGGAAAAAATTAATCATGCGGAATGTATACGGAATTTTTAAACTTAATATTTTTAGAAGATAATTTTACAAAAATCCCGTATCATAACACGAGATCACATGATTGTTTATTGTTTTGTTATGATACGTTTTTTGTTTTTTATATAAACCCTTACTTTGATGAGTTTGATCTTCCGATCTTCCTTTCTGTCTTTCCTTTCCTTTCTCTTTCTCTTGTCTTATTTTTGTTATTTTTTCTAAATTTTTCTTCTTTCTTCGTCACCCCCTTTTAAAAATAATTTTTTTTTTCGTACCTCACTTTAAAAAAATTTTTTTTTCGTCACTCTCCTTTGAAAAAAAATTTTTTTTCGTCACTCCCTTAAAAAAAAATTTTTTCTTTTATTCCCACTCTTCTTTTTTTTAAAAAAAAATTTCTTCTTTCTATTTCTATTTCCTCTTTATAAAAAATTTTTTATTTTTCTAACTTTGACGTCCTCCCTTTAAAAAAAAAATTTTTTTTTAACTTTCCTAACTTCGTTACCCCTCTTTTTTAAAAAATATTTTTTTTGGTTTATTCTTTATTCCCCTTTCTTTTTTATTTATATTTAATTTCATAGGCCAGCAAGTTTTTTTTTGTGAGAATATTCAGTTTCTTTTTTCTTTTTTGTAGATCAGTTTGGGAGTCCTTTTCTTTTTGTAGGATGATTCAGAATTTTTTTCTTTTTTTAGGTCAGTTCAAATTTTTTTGTTTTTTTGTAAGTTGGGTTCAGATTCTTTTCTTTTTGTAGGTTGTTTCAGTTTTGTTGCTTCAGAGTCTTCTTTTTTTGTAGGTCAGTTTTGGATTTATTTTGTTGTTTTGGTTTCTTTTTCATTAGACGCTTCATAATTCTTTTCTTTTATGTAGGTCAGACATTCTGGAGTTCTCTTTCTTTTTTTGTAGGAATGCTGACCTTTGGTGACTTGGACGATTGCAGATACTATATGAGGGGGGGTTTTGTTTCCAATCTTTTTTTTTGTTCTTTTAGGTTGTTTGACTCCAAATGAACCTGAACTTATAGATAATTTTGGTTGCAATAGGTGGTTTTAATAAGGAGGGAATTTTCATAATGTATTTGTACTTTGTTTATTTTTTATTTTTTATTTAATTTAATAAAGTGAAATTAGATTTATGTAAATACAATTATAGTAAACTGTAATACAAATAGTAAATTCAGTGACCAAATCGTATAAATTTCGTGATAAAATCAGTGATCAAATCATGTAAATTCCATATAAATCCCGTGCAAATTCCGTATCCAAACCATATTTTTAGTGATACGGAATTGTGCATTTTCCGTATCCTATTATGATACGTTATTTCTAAGGAAAAAAAATCGTATAAAAACTTTATAAAAAACGTATCCAATTTTTTTATAGGGGGAAATAAATTAATAAAATATTAAAAGCAATATACGGTACACTTCATATATGTTACAATTTTTAGAAATTATATTGTATCTCGACCTATTGTATAGCTCAATAACTCATCATATATGTTATCATTGTGATATAAAAATACGAAACAGTAACAAATCAATACTTGCTAATTTGATAATAAATATTCTGTCATTCTAAATGTATATGGATATCGTTCAATTAATAATTTGAAAGTAATAAATAAAAAGTGGTAGTTATATAAAATTTATTTCAGTTTTAAAAATTTCATATTCTTTCGCAAAATATTGTTCTCTCATTATATATATTCATCATCAATGACAATATTTATTTTTTTTTCATTTTGACGTCATGAAAATTATTCTCAATTACATGTGCGAGTGTATTGCAAGTTCATATTAATTGCAGTAACAAATATCCGTAATAGCAACCTTTTTCATGTTGGGAGATCATTGAAAAAATATCATTATATCAAATTATACATTTACTGACCTATCTACTACATTTTATATTATGGTAAAATTATGGCACTACCCTGTATATAAATTATATTATAGCAAGGCTAATTAAATATCAAATGTGCGGGTATTCTAAAAAGGAAAACGAATGTATCAGACAAAATCACAAAAGTAATACATAACACACGATATTAAACGCAGGAAATTAACTATGTACTGTATATTAACTGTATATATGTTTTGTTCTAAATGAATTGTTTAAAAAAGGAATGGAAAACGAGGAAGATAACGAAAATGAAAAAAAACTTGAATTATAATATTGGAATTACTAAAGTACACTAGTGGTGATCTAGTATTATGATGTACTTTTGGCCAGAATTAAAAATCTTGGCCGGCATTACATCATAAATTCACCACTGGTGACCGTCACAACTAGTGATATTTAGTAATACCCTAAATTTATTATACGTATCAATTGAATTTCTGTTTTTAAATTGAAGATTTATTAAAATAGTAATAATTTTAACAAACTTCAAGAATAAGATGATAATTTAATTATCTGTTATTATTTATAAATTCCATCACTTTATATAGTTTCCCACTGGTCAAATTTTTAATCGAATCATCTCGTCCACATCCAGGAAAACCTTTATATATAAATTTTAGAATTAAGTTTAGTAATAACAATTGTAAACTCCTTGTCATTTACTTTTATCGTCTTCCTCTGATGTCTTTTTGTCGTGTTCATCTGACGTCTTTCTGTCGTCTTATTCTGATGTCTTTCTGTCGTCTTCTTCTGATGTTTTTTTGTCGTCTTCTTTTGATGTCTTTTTGTCATCTTTTTCTGATGTCTTTCTGTCGTCCTTTTTTGATGTTTTTATGTTGTCTTCTTCTAACCAACTAATATTGACGACATAAAGTTTAAGGAATTCCTTTAAACCAATAAGTTCTTCTTTAAGATCTAAATTGTCATATTCAGGATTTGCTGAAAATAATAATGTAGGTTTCGGCTTCAACTTTTCATTAAGAGTTTTCTTTGTTGTGCTATTAAAAACACGTTTATGCATAAATCCCCATGGTTTAATAGAGCTAACGCCTAAAAACAATTAATGTGTTATATGATGAGTAAATGTCTTCTGCAATAATGTATTAGTATATAATTACCAAATAGAAGGGCGTAAAATGTGAATAGTGCTCCAAAAATAGACAAAACATTAGAAATAACGGACAATGCCTAAATAATAAAATAGTAAATATTACTGTATTAATAAAAGTGATTTGCTTGGTCAGATAATTACATATGTTGTTTTTTAATTAATAAATTTACTTACATTCTTATTCCGTTGCTCAGTTTGTTCTTCAAGTAAGAAGCTATTCGGGTCGAGCATGAAACCTGCCGCAGCATCCGCGTACCATGAGTCGTTTCTCGTGGTTAAATCTAAGAAAACATATTAATTATCAACGACACATCTTATCAATAATAGACTTTTTTTACTTAATTTATTTAAACTTACAAACAAATGCTGTAATATATGTTAGCGTTTCGCGTTCTGGAGGAAATCCTTGATGGATTCTACAATCGTTCTGGTGATTTTCCTTGTCATTCGGACATGGTAAATCTGAAAAATATATATATAATTTTCATTATAATTAAATAACTTTATAAAAATCAATAGACCATTATCCATATTACTTACATAATTTCTCCCCAGAAAATATCTATTTGTCCGGTAGACTGACGCAGAAAGAGGCGATGAATCGGAATAATACTTGTTATTAACTAGTGCTTCGTACATATCTTGAGCTAATGTTTGATTTGTCGAGTCAAAAACGTTGATTGTGAACGCAGGAATGTCACCATCTATATAAACGTCGTTAGAGACGTTAAATTTAAAAAGTATTCTTTTTAGCCGATATGACGTTTGGTTCTTGGGAAACGCCAAATTATTTATCGGCGAAAATTTTCCGGTCCATTGACCGTTTTCTTCATTAAATGTGGGTTGAGTTAAGTACTTCGAACAGTTGCTACTATCTATTAAATGATTAATGAATAAAATGAATATACAGTAAAGGGTAGCATGTATATGATAATATATGATCTTACCATAATAATCAAACAGCTGGAAATGGCACATAACTGAAAAATTATTCTTAAGCTGAAACCCCACTAACGGGGCAGGAAATTCAGTCATTTCAGAGTATCCATCTGTAACGGTTGGCAAGTCATTATGTACACCAATTGAGAGAATGATTAAATCAGTCAGTAAGATAGTGCCGAATATTGCGATAATAATCGCTCTACAGAAGTTGAGTGGTGTTATCTTGAACATTTTTTTTTTTTTAATTTAATTGAGTATTTTTTTTTGATATTATACAATAATTAAATTGATGCAATTCTTACATGGGATAGAACTCGTTTTATTTATTTCTATTTCATTGTCGTTTACTTATTTGTATGCTTCTTTATTGCTTTCAAAATATTCTGAATTCAAAATTCAAATAACCAATAGATTAAAAAATTGAGAAATCTGGGAAAGTTAAAAAATTCTATTGGATCGATAATTCGTGTACTGTACGACGGTCATCTAGTGTATCATTAACCCCTAACCTTATTTAGTACTAGCTGAAATACAAGAAACGGATGGAATCATATAACATCATGCCGTATTTTTTAGGTTGCACATTATACTAAGTTTAAATGAAATTCCAAAAGTGTTAACTTAACAAAGGTAATACTTAATTTTTCTTTAAATAGATGAGAGAACTTCTCACATGTACAAGGCAAGAATTTGTAATTCCATCTGTACCATGTAGTGCAAGCTGGCGCTGGAGTTCACTGGAAGATTGGAAGCACTTTGGAACTTTCCATCTTCCAATTCCAACGCCTATTCCAGCTCCAATAGATTTTTATCGAAAAGTTTAGAAGCACCTTAATCACGTGAAATATTTTATCCAATAATATTTGATTATACGAAAAACAAAGATTTTATTATTGCGGTTTTCGAATTAGTGTGATCGGCAAATTTTTTTAATAAATAACAAGTTAACATTAAACATGGCAGGGAGCTATAGTCATAGTATAATTAGAACTGTAATAATTCTGACTTTTTTTTTAATTAAGTTGGTTTATACTACCATACAGTATCATAATTATGATAAATAGTTTTTAAGATTTAAAGAGAATTTCTAAATTTTAACTGGTGGAAAAATTACTGGTAGATCATGTGATTGTGTATTAAATATTCATGTGATTTATTATGATGATGCAATTTCATTTGGCTCGCTTCGCTCGCCGGGCTTTTCTAGCCAAACCATAACTTTTACTTTATTTGCAAAATTTTTGATTATATTTAACATATCTATAAAAAAAAAATGAGAAATTACTCTTAACTAGCTATTAACATAATTTTTTTTCTCATTTGGTAAGGATGATCATTTTCGGTTTATTTTGCTTGTTAATCATTTTTGGCTTAGTTATTTCACTTGTTAATCATTTTAAGGTTAATTATCTTGATTGTTGTTTATTTTTTGGTTTAAAAATAAAAAAATATATATATCAGAATATGTGATTGACTTTAAATAACAATACAGAAAGATTGTTTATTACTTGATAAAGCATTTATTTAATATTTACTATCATCATTTTTGGAATTACGGCTCTGGAAAAAAATTTTTCATGATTATATTGTAATAAAACAATTCTACT